CGGTGGCACCGAGGCGGAGCGGCCGCCGGAGCAGAGCTTCCCCGCGGCGCCCGCCGCCGGCAGTGGCTTCGGTGGCTTCTCCAGCGGCTTCCCGGAGCGCGCGGAGGCGGCGCCCGCCCTCAAGTCGCTGCAGAAGCAGGTGGGCACGCCGGACTCGTTGGAGTCGCTCGACATCCCCTCCACCGGCAGCTCCTGCGAGGGCTTCAGCCCCACGGGCTGCGCCGCCCCCGGGCAGCCGCGCGCCCTCGACAGCGGCTACGACACCGAGAACAACGAGTCGCCCGAGTTCGTCCTCAAGGAGCCCCACGAGCCCCGCGAGCCCGAGGGCTTCGTGCCGGGCGGCCAGGGCGCCGGGCCGGACGCAGGGACGCGGCTGCCCACGGCGCCCGGCGCCAAGAGCCCGTGCCGCGACTCGGCCTATTTCTCTGACTGCGACGCCGAGGCCGAGCGCAGCCCTGAGGACAGCGCTGGTGGCCCTGGCCCTGGCCGGGTGGAAGAGCCGCCGGCGCCTCCCCCGGGGCCACCGTGGAGGGTGGCGGGGGACAAGGTCGAGCCGGCTCCGGGCCTCTCCCCGAGCCCCACCGAGGACGTGTGTCCCTCCAAGACCTTCTTCCCATCCCTGGTGGCCACCGGCATCGAGGACAAGGTGGCCCCTGGTCCGGACGCGTCCCATGGTGTCTGCGGACTGGAGGGAAGCCCGGACGGGGCTGAGCAGACTGTGTCCCCCGTGCCGGGCGCTGGGCACTGCGAGGAGCCCGAGGAGGAGGAGGAGGACACGGAGGACAGCGACGAGTCGGACGAGGAGCTGCGCTGCTACAACGTGCAGGAGCAGAGCGAGGAGAGCGAGGAGGAGCCGGCGGCCGTGCCCATCGTGGTGGCCGAGAGCCACAGCGCCCGCAACCTGCGGAGCCTCCTCAAGATGCCCAGCCTGCTCTCGGACTCCTTCTGCGAGGACCTGGAGCGCAAGAAGAAGGCCGTGTCCTTCTTCGACGACGTCACCATCTACCTCTTTGACCAGGTGAGGGGCCCGGCTGGGCCCAGGGCACCCCGTGCCCCGGGGCTCCCCGGTGACACCCCATCCCCATGGGTCTCCTCTTCCCAGGAAAGCCCCACGCGGGAGCTGGGGGAGCAGAGCTTCCCGGACGGCCCCGGGCAGCCCCCGGGCGGCCCCGGCAGCCCTGCGGAGAGGGTGAGCACCGCGAACGGCTCCGTGGACGGCAGCGTCTCCGAAGAGAGTAAGAGCGGGAGTGGGAGCGGGAGCGGGGCCAGCGCATCCCCGTCCCCCCGTCCCAGCCCTGTCCCTCCGCCCCCCAGGTGGCGGCTTCGAGTGGGATGACGACTTCCCGCTGGCGCCGGGGAAGCCGTCGCTGATGTCCTCGCTGGCGGGGACGCCGGCCGAGCCCGCCCCGGCCGTGCCCGCGCTGCTGCCCGCCCAGAAGCAGGGGCTGCCGCTCCAGCTCTCCCGCTTCACCGTCTCGCCGGCGCCCGTCTCCCGCTTCTCCATCACCCACGTCTCCGACTCGGACATGGACTCCATGGGAGGTGAGTGTGCCCAGCAGATTGTCCCGGGACGATGCCGGGGATCGTGGATGCGCTGTGTCCTGCATCCCGTCCCCACGTACGAGATTGCCTCGTTGTGTCCTGCATCCCATCCTTGTGCTCCTGAGGGTGCCCGGTCCTTCCCTGCATCCCATCCACATGTGTGGGGAGTGCATGGCCATGTCCTGCACCCCATTCCCATGCACCGTGGATACCCAGCCACGTCCTGCACCCCATTCCCATGCACCGTGGATACCCAGCCACGTCCTGCACCCCGTCCCTGTGTGCAGAGGCTGCCCAGCCACGTCCTGCTCGCTGCAGCCTCCGCTGCCAGGGCTCCCATCCCGGCGGGCGGGCGCTCACAGCGGCTCCCTGCTCCCCTCCAGGCAGCAGCGAGGACGGCGACAGGGAATGAGGCACTGCCTGTTCACCAGGGATTTCCCTTGGCAGCGGCACCTGCCGGGGCCGCAGGGGTCGGACGGACGGACGGACGGATGGACAGAGGCCGGGAGCGGGGCCTGGCCCGCTGGACTCCTGGGACTGGGCTCTATTTTTTTAAGGCAGATTTTATGGGACGGAGTTCGTGTGCTGCTAGTTGGAGCTGGCCCGGTGGCCCGGGGCGAGGCGGTGGCTGACGGCCGTGCGTGTGCGTGCGAGTGCGAATGCGGGGTGTGCGTGTGTATAAATAGACATATATATATATATATACACATATATATATATAAATTATAGCATCTAAAGGGTAGGACCCTGACCTTGCTAACATCTGCAGATCCTCACCCAGTGACGTTCCCCTGCCCCGGCTTCTCGACCCGCTGTGATGTCCCCTCCACGTCCCCACCATGCCGTGAGCTTGGCCGTCTTGCACCTCCATCCGCGGCCGGGCTCTCCCGGCTCCGCTGGCGGCTCCCGCCTCGTCCTTCCCGCTCCGCACGGGGCTCGTGGGGGCGCTGCTGACAGTGCCCGCATTGCTCCAGGGCTGCAAAATCCCTCCTGGAGCGCAGTGCTGGGGCCGGCCAGGCTGCCCGTGGGATCTGGGCACGTTCCCCTGCTCCCGCCGGGCCCAGCCCCTCAGCTCCGGGCTCCGGGAGCTCCTGCTCTGGCTGCCCGTGCCAGCCTTGCAGCTGAGCAGGGAACTGCCAACCCGAGTATTTTTATAGTTAAACAAAAGGAAAAAAAAAAAAAAAAAGGATCCTAAAAAAACAAAACTTGCTGTTGACCGAACTCACATTGCCGCAATTTTAAGTTATTGTTGCCAAAGAGATGTAAAGAGTTTGTCAAGGGAGGCGGCACATTCTCGCGGTTTGTGTGTTCATCTGTTTTGGTTTCTTTGTTATGTTTTTTATTTTTATTTTTTAACTCGTTTGAGGCTTAGGATAAATGTGCAATTCCACCTTCCAGAAGGACCTGGGACTAAGCGGAGCTGCTGAACCCTTGAGATGAGGGCTGTGTTTGCTTTGGGGGCCTGTAGACCAAACCCGGAGGTGAGAGCCGCCCCGTCCTGCCCCTACCGCAGCGGCTGCAGCCCAGCCTGGCTGCTGCGTGTGCATGGGTGCATATAGATGTGTGTGTGCATGCACACACATGTCTGTATATGCCTGCACGCATTGTGTGTGTGGATGCATGCACGCACACCTGTGTGTGGAGTCATGCACATGTGTCTGTGCGTATGCATGCACACGTGTGTCCGTGTGTGTGGATGCGCGCACACATGTGTCTGTGTGTGGATGCACGCACACATGTTTCTGTGGGTGGATGCATGCATGCACACATATGTATGTGTGGATGCATGTACACATGTGTGTGTGTGGATGCATGCACACATGTGTCTGTGTGTGGATGCATGCATGCACACACCCGTGCAGCAGCCTCCAGGGCTCTTTGCAGCCTGGGTGCCCTGTGCAGGGCACCCCTGTCCCCGTGGGGCACTCGGGCATCTTGCTGTGCTGCCTCATGCCGCGCTCCGAGGCTGGCGCCTGTGCCCAGGCTGGGCTCAACGCAGCTCCAAGGAGCTGCAGCTGCTGCTCCCCATTCGTTTCCTCCCCCAGCCTTTTCCGTGCTGTGCCAGGTGGGGCCAGCGCTGGGCTCCAAAGCCGGGTGGTTTAGGAGCGGGCTGCCCATGGCCTCCTGCTGCCCCGCAGGGTGGGGGGCACTTTCCAGCCTTCCTGGGGTTCTCCAGGGGTGTCTGGGTGTCTCCCCGCGCTGCAACAAGATCCCAGCCCAGCTGTGCACGGCCCGGCTGCTGGGCCGGCTCCCGGCCTCCCTGCACAGGCTGCTTCCCCTGCTCCCTGCCACGAGCGGGTCTTTTTAATCTACTCTATTTAAGCGTTTTGGGGCTCCAGCCCAGCCCCTGACCCCCGTGCGGGGCCCAAAGCAGCGTCCCACGCGCCCTGCTTGCACGTCCGTGCTGGGACCACCAGGATCCCGGTGCCCATAGTGCATATGGGGGCTTGGAGGGGGGGGCCTGCACTGACCTGGGGGGCCCGTGGGACCCTCCCCTTCCCTGGTGCAAACCCGGCTTGGCCCCACTCGGTGCATGGGGCAGTCCCGGCTTGTCCCCTTCCCGGCACGGACCCCCCGCCCGCCCCCGGGTTTGGTCTACGGCCCCCAAGGTCTCTGCCTCTGGAGGGCAGCATGAGAACAGAGCGATGGCTTGGATATTTTTTTTAATAGAAAAGCTACTATTACATTGTATATTTTATCAATACGGGTCATAATTGCTGTATTTTTTATCAGTGCTGATTTCCATACAGCTCCCAGCATGTGTGTCAGACATCATCGGGCCAATAATAAAATTTTTAAAATATCTTAAGCAGTTTCCCTGCCTGCATCATTGCTGGCAAACGGGAAAGCCGGGGAGCACGGCGGCATCCCGGGAGCATCCCGGCAGCTCAGCAGCATCCTGGGAACGTGGCAGCATCCCAGGAACGTGGCAGCCTGCAGGGAGACGCTGCTCCCCGGAGCTGCCGCCGATGCCGGAGCATCCCCAGGGCCGGGAGCCGCTCTGCAACCAGGCAGTGGTGTGAGGAGCAGCAGCGCTAACGAAGCAGCTTCATTGCAAGGGGCCATGCCCCAGTTTGCAGGGCGCCAGTGCCCCTCTGACCAAGGAAAACACAGGGCTTGGAGGGAAGGGGAAGGAGGGGAAAATTTATTGCTCATAAATTACTTTTTCATAAAAAAAGAGTATTTGAGGCTGCATCTTGCAGGTGCCCCCAAGCCAGGAGGCGGGCGAGGCCGGTGGCGGCTGCAGCGGCTCCTGGTCCCGGCCGCGGCTCGGACCCTGCTCCGGGCTGCCCGCGGGGACCGACGGAGGCGGCGCCGCGTCGGGTTAAGGCAAGCGGCAGGAGCAGGTGATGCCCGCGGGTCCGGAGGGAGACCCCACGGTCCGTGGGTGCCGTGGGGACTGCGGAAAGGGGCCTCGGAGCTTTAGCCTTCAGAAAGTGCAAAATGACAAGGACAGTGGAAAGGGAGGCACTGGGACGGCTCTGCACGGTGCCCACGGGGCCCATGGAGCAGCTGGAGAAGGCAGCTGCTGGAGCTGAAACCCCATGGGAGCCCCTGCTCCTGCTTGGCATGACAGGGTCCTGGGGGGAGCGGGCACCCAGGCTGGGGCTCTCGCTGCCCCATGGCACGTGGGGCAGAGCGTGGGCTGGAGCCCCATGAGCCGGCTCCGTGGGCACCCATCGGTGCCAGGCCCACGCAGGACCTAGTGCTGGGGACGCCCTGCTGCCACCTCCTCAGCGTATTCTAGTGTCTATTTTACAGCAGTACCGTTACTCCCTGCTACTGAGGGCCAGCAGCGTCACCAGCCACGTGCCACCAGCCCGGGGAGTGGTCGGGAGCTGGCAGGGGACTTGTCAGCCCCCTGGCTCCTAAGGAGACCCAGGGCTTCCCCACGTCCCCCTGCCTTGGTGGCATCACCCCGTGTGCTGCTCTGGCTCTGCACGTGCAAAGCAGCGGCTGCTCAGCTGCAGCTCAGCCCTCCACGGCTGCGACGATCAAGCTGGGACGAGGGGAGAGGAATCAGCGCTAGCTTTAGCCTTCGGCTTTCAAAGCAGCAGGATTATATGAACTCTGCCTAAAAACGCGGCTCCGGAAAGGCGGGCACGCGGGCGGCGGCGAGGGGAGCCCGCGTGCCAAGCGCGCGGCCGGCCCGGATCAGCTGAGCAGCGGAGCCGACCTGTCGTTCGTCACTGTGGGTTTCAGCTGCACGTTGGCAAAGGGGTTTCTGCGGAGAGAGAGGAAGGCAGAGTTTAGCGGGAGCGCCGCGAGCGCCGGGTGCAACGGTGCCGCTTTCGGCCACCTCGCTGCGGAGCTGGCCCTCCGGCACCGCAGGACCAGGGCCGCGCAGCAAAGGCCTTGGCGGGCACCGGAGCGGCCAGGGCTCCGGAGGCCTTTGCAGAGGAGCGAAACGGCTGAGGAAGAGGCAGGGAGCTGGCGGGAGGAAGGGCTCCGGGCGCCGGCCGGTGTCCGCACCCCGCGTGCCTCCATCCCGCGCGCTCGCCGCAGCGCTCCCGCTGCGCCCGCGCTGCTGTGGCGAGGGCTGCACGGGGAGCCCCGGGCCCTGCGCTGCCGCCGCAGCCTCCCCGCGCCGCGCACTGTGCTCGCACTTGCTTTCTTCAAAGGATAAATTGCTTTTTTTTTCCCTTTCCCCCTTAAAAATAGGGTAATTAATTTCCCACTTAATTAATGCAGCTCCTTAGCTCCCTTCTCCCCCTATCATGCCAAAATAGATCTCCAGGCTGAGCGCAGGAAAGGTTGCTTTGATGAGTCACCAGGGGTTGTGATTTAACCGTTTGTGCTCCCGGCAGAGAGGAGCGGCTTGGAGCAGCGCCCGCGGAGCCGCCAAGCCCCAAGGAGGCCGCGGGAGCCGCCCGGAGAGGCGGCGCGAGCGAGAGAAGCTGCTCAACAAGCTGGGACTCGGTGACCGCGCAGGGCTGGTCCCGGCAGCACCCGGCACCCAGCGCCTGCGACCAGAGCATGCGCATGAAAAGCAGGACGGGGCAGCCCGGCGCCCGCAGGAGGGCAGCGTGAGAGGCGGGCGGGCGCAGCGGGGTGAGCGGCAGCGGCTCCGGGCACCAGCAAAAGCCCCCGGCTCCATTTGAGACCCCGCTGCTGGCGGGGGGGACGAGCAGCACGGCGACGGCCCCAGCACCCCGAAAGCAGTGCCGGGCGCGCGCAAACCGCCAACTTACTAACTACGGTCAGGGGCCTCTCAAAACCTGGCCACTTCAACATCGGCGCTGCAAGGGAAACAGAAGGCAGGTTGGAGGAGGCCGGCGCGGCGCGGCCAACGCGCTCGGCAGCGCAGGCGGCTCGGCCGGCGGCTCCGCATGCGCCTGCAGCCGGGCAGAGGCAGCCAAGGGAGGACGAGCTGCATTGACGGGCACGCAGCAGCTCTGCAGCGCGGCAGCCCCGGCGCCCGCACGGCAGCCCTGCGCAGACGGGAAGGAAGGGCAAGGCCGGCGCTTCCTTCCCCGGCGAAGCTCGCACGAGGCGCGGGAATGGCGCTCGCGGCATTCCCGGCGTTCCCGGGGACGGCGGCGCCGGGAGCGCACGGTTTGCAGGAGCACGCGGCCGGAGCCGGGCTCGCTGCTCCCGCCTGCACGCGGGGACGCGGAGCCGCAGCCCGGACACAGACACGAGCCCCGCGGCGCCACGCACAAATGGAGGAAAAAGAAAAAGAAAAACGAGCAAAACAAAAGCAAGGCATGGCCTGTGCAGGCTGGTGGATGGTCAGCAACACATGGAAGCCGAAAAAGACACCGAGGCCCAGCTCAATGCAATAAATAAAACTTTTATTCAAACAATAACTCAGTACAGGGCACATTTCTCTCTGGCTTTAAAAAAAAAAATGTTTTTTCAGCACTTTACAGTCCTCATACAAGTTCTGCTTTTTTTTTTTTTTTTTTTTGCTTTTTTTTTTCCTTCTACATTTAGTCATTTAGCAATGAAATATCTCGGGTTAAAAATCTTTAGCAAAATCATGACATCAGCGCGGGAGGCTCTCACTCCAATATGCCCATAGTCTGGTATATAAAACAAAAACTTCTCCGTGTGTCTGTGTGTCTGTGCATATATTGCCAGCAATGTCCGAGTAAACAGGCAGGTGAGAGGTTTTAAAAATCACACTGGAAAAAGGAAGCGTGTGGAGCTTTGCAGGGAGCCGGGCGCGGGCAGGAGCCTCAATCCCAGCCCAGCCCCGGGACACAGGGCGGCCCGAGCGCGGGGTCCGTCCCCAGGACGGCACTGGGGTCACTTAAGCCCAATTTTTAGGTGCAAAGGCGGCTTCAACCCGCCCTGCCTCAGCCCCGAGCACTAACGTGAGGTAACAATACCTTGCTACAAAAAATATATATATACATATATATTTATAAAACAACAAGGAGAAACCCTTCCGAGAGGGTGCCGGCAGAGAACCAGCCGTTTTGCTCCGGGGCCGGGGCCCGCGGAGCATCCACTTCTCCTCCCGCAACCTTGCGCGCTCGGTTGGCTCGAAGTGGATGGGGAGGAGAGGGAGCAGAGCTGCCTTCCCTTCCCGAGCGAGGCCGGGGGTAACAGTACAGATACCAGAGGGCATGCACGCGGGCGGCAGCCTGCAAGGAGCGTGGTCCGTGCGTGCGGGGCCCGCGCGCAGGGCACGGAGCGGCAGCGCCGCGCGGGCACCGTGCCCCGGCCGGCACCGGCCGCCTGGCAGTGTCTGCTCTGAAAGGCTTCAGAAACAAGGGCACTGTGAACACCGGGAGGGCATGGAGAAGCACCATGGATTTCCTTGAAGTTCACAAGAGTTTCAACTCCGAAAGAAGGAGAGAGAGAAAAGGGGAGGGGAAAGGGGGGGGGAATAAAGGGGGAAAGAAGCAGAAAGCTCTTCCAAGCAGCAAGTTGCCCCTGCTAGCCAAGGTGTCCTCACACCGTTGATACCAAACTGCCACTGCCGCTGCGGAACAAAGCACAGAGATGCCAGAGCGGCCGGAGAAGCCCGCGGTGCCCGCGCGCCCACGGAGCCGACGGCGCCGCGCGGAGCCAGCCGCGCGCCCCGCTGCTCCACACGAAGGAGAAGGAGCTTCCAGGTGGGAGCAGGCACCTGGGCGAGACCCTGCAAAGCTCCTGCTCCGTGAGCCCTCGCTATCCTGCTTTAAGCTGGAGGGCAGGAGCCCAGCACAGAGCGCGCGGGCTGCGGTAGCCAGGACGGCGGCGGCCCCTCTGCCCTGCGCGGGGGCTGCTGGGCGCCTCTGCTCGGACCAAGCCTTGCACCGTATCCGTATCCTCCTCCGAACGCCCCAGGCACCGCCCTGCGCCCCGCCGGCCACGCGGACCTGTCGTCCCGGGCGCACACCGGTTCGCGGCAAGGAGTCTTACCTGCTAACGGATCTCGTCCCGTAGTCATCGAGGCCCTGCGGGAGAAGCAGAGGAGGCCGTGAGTCGCCGGGGGCACCGGCTAAGCCCTTTCGGGTGCCTCTGGAGGGGCACAAGAACAAACCCAAATGCATCAGGACCCAGAGGCGTTCTGGGCTAAGAGCCAATGCATCTGAAGATGAAAGAGGAGCAATGGAGATGATCTGCACGGGATTTACGCCGCAGGGAGCAAAGTTGCACGGCTCTCTTCGGATCAAGACTTAATCTAGCAAGACAAGAGCAACGGCTGAGCGGGCTCGGGTTTGCTCTGGCCAGCACCACCTTTGTGCCAGGATCCGCTTTGGAGACACGAGACACGCTTGGAAAGGGATCACACAGCAAGGTCGAGAAAGACCAGTGAAATGTTCCATGGAGAAGGGAAGTGTTTGCACTGTACCAGCTCCCACCAGAAACCACACAGAGTTTTGGACCGTTTTCTACTCAGCTGACACTAGGGGCGTTTTGCAGAGCGGGGAGGAGGACGGCTGCTCGGAGCACGTGGGACTGAGCTCAAAGATCCAGCCGGGACACATCCCAGCGCTGGGACACGGACCGAGGATCAGCTCTGCTCCCCGCGACAAACACCGAAACCCGAAGGCAGGACCACGTGTCTCTGCGGCAGGGATCAGAGACCAGGGCTCCCCATGCCAGAGAACAGTCCCGCTCATGAACCCCCAAATCCAGCAGCAAGGCCTGCCCGGAATGGCTCCCACTGGGCTCAGACTAGCAAGGATGGGGATCAAGCACCCGTCCATCCCCTGGAGCCTTCCCAGGGCGGCTGCAGCCTTTGCAGCCATGCAGAAGGGACGGGACCCGAGCGCCCGTGTCCCTTCTCTCCCTGTCCGCTGGCACATGCCCATTGCACCGGGAAAGCCGTGGGGATGTCTGCCTGGACAGCCACGCTGGGGGGTCGCGTTGCTTGCGCGGCTGCCGGGCTACCTGCTTGCAAACCCCGCGGACCATCCGAGCCCGGGGGCGGCAGCTGCCGGCTCACGTGGTGACTCCCTCCGCTTGCACCCGCAAGCGCAGGAGAAAAAGGGTCCAGCTCCCTGTGAGCAGCTCGTTTCTGGTGGGAGGCTCTCGTGGCGTTGGCAAGTGTTGTCCATTGGGGGTTTACGGGGCTGTTTTGTGCCTCCTGAGTCTTGCCGGCTCTGCCCAGCTTAGTCAAAGCGGCCCGTGCTCTCCGGTCCCTTTGCCTCTTCCCTGGGGTCCCTGTCTCCTTTCTCCCTATGCTGGGAGAGACGCTCAGCGGAGACAGCCTGAAGCCCTGGGCAAGCCGCAAGAACTACCAGGCAAAACCAGCCAACTGTCCATAAATCCCAGCGGAAACATTGCATCTGTTTGGACTTACAGCTGTTGACCTAGTATAAGGCTTGTAGTGAGCAGATGGTGGTTGGCAGAGGCCACTGGAATAGTCTTTAATTGCACAACCATAGGGCATAAGGTAGTCCTACAAATAACGAACACAGGCCTGTTGGAGAGGAGCCCGGGGGCACGGCGAGAACACGAACCCGTTCCCTGCACAGCCCCGGCAGGACCCCGCAGACCCCGGCTCCTGGCGCGCGTTGCTGCGGAGTTAAACCCCGGCGCTGGCTCGAGCGTCTCCCGGGATTAGCACCCGCCCGCTCCGCGGACCCGCGGCGGGAAGCGGCCGCGGGGCGCTCACCTGGGCGAAGGCGGGCACGGCCACGCTGTACGGGCGCTGCTTGAAGGTGCCGGTGCCCTGCGAGGGGAAGGCCTGCGAGGACATGCCGTAGTCGGGCGGCGGGATGGCCACGTCGTCCTTGTCCAGCAGGTTGCCCGTGCTGCTGCTCTTGCCCTGCTGCAGGCTGGGGACGCAAAGAGCGGCGTCACTTGCGCTGACTTGCAGCTCCTTCCCTGCAGGAAGGGCAGTGCCCACCGCCCCGGCACAGAGCCAGACCCCCCGATATAACCTGCCCCCCGCTGCGGGTCTGTGCCATGAATCCCCAGCAATGCACACTATATCCTGAGGAAATCATTAAATGTTCCCAGCCCAAGTCAGCAAGACCGGCTCGACCCTCCTCTTGCAAACAGAGCAGGCACAGCCCCCCGGGCGGCACCCCCGGCGCTCGGTGCCGGCACCGCGCTGCCCTACCTGGCATGGACCCGCTCGCCTCCGTCCGTGTCCAGCACCCGCGTGTACGAGAAGGGAAACCAGCCTCTCCTGCAAGGCAAACGCCCAGGACAGAGTCAAACCGGGGTCTTGTGATGGGAGAGACACAAACAGCTAAAGGAGGCCGCGTGGCTGCACCGGGGCCAGGAGAGACGGAGCCCTGGGCGCCGCGACGCCCCCCACTCACATCTTGGTTTTCTCGCTCTCCCCGTAGTGCCACCCGTCGCGGGCCTCGGGCACCAGCAGCGTGATGAGGTCTCCCTCTTTGAAGCTCAGGAGGGTGCTGTTATCACCAGCAGCGTGAGAGAAAATAGCCTGCACCCTCGTCCGGCCGTTCCTCTCGAGCCCTGCGGCCATGGAGCTGGAGCGCGGCAGCGTCTTGTTTTCAGCTGGCGGGAGACAAAGACCAAGAAATGCGCCGAGATTTGAATGCGGTGGTTCGCTACTGTGGCATTGACACGACCGAGGACAGGACGTGGTCCCTAACACCTCTTTATCTCACTCCAGGTACTAATAAAAATGGGTCTTCAAAACCCGCCTGGATGCCACCCTGTGCCACGTGCTCTAGGTGTGCCTGCTTGAGCAGGAAGGTTGGACTAGATGATCTCTAGAGGTCCCTTCCAACCTTGAATATTCTGTGAAAACCCTTAGCAGAAAGACCAGGTTCTCATTTGTGCTGCAGCGCTGCTCTCCTAAAGTCCCTGCAGCTTCCGTTACCTCTGTTCATTTTCCTAATCCCGTGCGGAGGGGAGCTCAGCACGTCTCCCCCGAGACGCACCCTCCGGCCCAGGGAACGGGGACAGGGCGGGGAAGGGGCCCTCACCGGACGCGTAGCTGTTTTTCGGCGGAACGTTTTTGCGAACGGGAAGAGTATTCGAGTAAGAGTCGCTCAGCTGCTTCTGAGGCTGGGGAGGAGATAAAGATTTGGGCTGTGCTGGCTTCATCTCAGACCAGTGGCTGTACTCATCACTGTCTGCGCCGGAGACTCCGTTCATCAGCGGCATGGCCTCCTGCGCCGACATGCGCTACGGAGAAAGGAGAGGAGGGGAGGGAAGACGAGAAGGGGCTTCATTAGGCACCCCAGGCGTCCCCGGCGAGACGGGGCGGCAGCTCCCGGCAACACGGACCACTGCGGAGCAGAAGCTCGGGCCTCTCGGGCTGGTTCCCACCTACCTGAGCACAAAGCCCCGGGAAGGGCAGCAGGAGGCACCTCTACAGTACTGCGTCCCTCCGAGCCGTCTGGCACCCAATACATCTCTCCTGAGCGCCACCGCTCAGCTCATCCCCTCCGTACCGCGCAGGGACATGCTGCTCTGAAGGGACTTGCAGCACCCGGCTCCGCTCTAGGCACCTTTTCCTGAGGTTCCTTCAGCTGGGCTCCCACCAGGGTGCTCTGAACCCAGCGAGCTCCCGCTGCCAGACCAGTCTAGCTCCCCCAACCCGACTGGGAGCCCTCACTGCCTCTGGGAGCCGGGACACCCCACAGGGCAGCGCCCAAACGGGGCACAACAAGGACAGAACGAGGGGGCTGTTCTGCACCATGTCCCACCACGGCACTGCCCCGATGCCCGGGACGCGCAGGGTCCAACCCCTCGCGCACCCGGTGCATTGTGGCAGGCAACTAAAGCCCGGCTTGCTGAGGACAGCGGTGACACCGGCCCGGGCTCCCGCCTCCTGCTTTGCTCAGCACATCAGCGCAACCTTTGCTATGCAGATACTTACTCCTACAAAAGGTGCCAGCTCCGGGGGGACAGGGAGAGGTTTGGCACCAGGAATGGGGTCAGAGATGATGAGGTTTGATTTGGATGTAGACAGAGGGCTGGGCATGATGGTGCCATTGCTGCTGGCAGCCATCTGCTGCATGAGCTGTATGGCGCGGTCCGGGATCTTGTTGGGATCCGAGCACGACTGCTGCCACAGCGGGAGCTTCTGCGTCAACATTTCTTTCCCCTGCAACACAGAAGGCCAAAACGGCATGAGGGCCCAGGAGCCCAGAGCGAAAGGCGGCCCAGGAAGGAGATGCTGGAACAGAAGGGACCATTTTCACCCCAGACAGACGCGGGTCCCTCGTGTTCCGCACCAGGATGGCTGCAGCTACCGCCTCTGGACTGCGAGCAAGACCGATTGGTGCCTTCGTGCACGGCACGACGAGACAAAGCTCGGGGCCTCGATCTCCCGGGCTCTGCTGGCACCCGAGCCATGGAGGCGGCATGAAAAACAGCGGCGAGCGGGAGGCGGTTTGTCCGCCCGCCTCATTGCGTCGCGCACGCCAGGACAGCGCAGCCCCAGCCGGGAAGCGGCAAAACGGCCCTGGGGCTCAGCCAGGGGATGCACGGGGAGGAAGACGGCGGCTAGCGGGAATGGGGGCGCCGGCGGCTGCCGCACCCTCGCTGCGCGGCGCCCACCGCGCCCGTTCCCGAGGGATGCGCCCGCTCCGGGGCCGAGGGCTTCCCCGGGCGGCTGTGCCCGCAGGGGCCGGGAGCGCCGCTCTCCCCGCGCCCGCTCAGTGCGCGGGCGGCATCTGCTGCCTGTTGATTCAGCATCTCGTGCAGCACGAGGACGGCGCTGAGTAACGGCGGCTCCGCCACCGCTCCCCGTGCCGAGCGCAGCCTCGACAGATGGGAGCTGCGAGCGACGGCGGGAGGCCAGAACGGGAGCCTCGGAGCCTGCCGCGGAGCAGCGTGTGCCGGTGCCACCCCCTGGCATCCCCTGCCACCCCCTGGGCACCCCTGGAAACCCCTGGGACCCTCTGCCATCCCAACACTCCGCTCCAGCCCTCCAGGAACCACCAGACCCTTGTGCAGGGGATGTGGGCAGCATGGAAAGCGTAAGGGAGGCTGAATGCACGGGTGTCTCCTGCATCCCATGGGTGCCTCCGGCGTGCCACGGGTGCCCCTGCGCCGCTCACCTTGGCATGGTAGGTGATGGCGCTCTTGGCCACGGCACACTGTTTCTCCACCAGGAAGCAGAAGCGCCTCCGCTCCTCGGTGAGCGCCGTCTTGTAGCCGTCAGACACGTAGGTTTCCAGCTCGCCCTGCTTGCTGCTGATGGCCTCGATGTACTAGGGCAGAGGGGCAGGAGGGAGGTGCTGAGGGTGGGCACGGGTGCCCGCAGCCCGCGCTCCCCACGCACCCCCTGCCCAGCAGTGCTGACTAGGTGCGGGGAGCGGGGAGCGCGCGGGTGGCAGAGGCAGGGACACGGCGGAGGCAGGGATGCAGTGGAGGCAGGGATGCAGTGGAGGCAGGGATGTGGCGGAGGCAGGGACACGGCGCAGGCAGGGATGCAGTGGAGGCAGGGATGCAGTGGAGGCTGGGATGTGGTGGAGGCTGGGACACGGCGCAGGCAGGGACGTGGCGCTTGCTCAGTGGCACCGTGCGCTCTTGCTCACCGCAGCATCGCCCGCCCGCGGCCGCCTCCGCAGCTTTGCACGCACAGCTGCTCCCTGCGTCCCACCGGCACCAGCTCCCTCTGCGAGCACCCACTGGGCACAGGCACCGCGCGCTGGCACCCGGCGCACGCCACGGGACAGAGCCCTGCGGCACCTCCCCACAGGAGGGTTCGGCTCCTCGTGCCCAGGCTGAGTGCACAGGGCAGCTCCCTAACCCCTGACCCGGCTGCTTTCTCCACCCTAGGACCTTGGCATGTCCCCAGCCTCTCTGCAAGGAGCAGCGCTGCTGAAGAGCCCTGCCACCACCGCTGCCATCACCTCTCCTGGGACACCAACCTGCAGCCCAGCCTGTCAAACCTATTTCAGAAACTCCGAGCTTTCATTAGAGAATTAAACTGGAAATTTGGGGCCCAGAGAAGCCTTTTTTTCCTCTCCTTCTCTCCACCTTGTTTAACAGTTTTATTTTTGGCATGCTACAATATTTATTAGCAGGCACTTACAAAACAGGGCAAACCTCAAACAGATTAAGTGACATGCCTAACTTCAAAGCAGGCTTATTTTAGGGCAGGAGCTGGTCCTGCCGCAGCCCCGCTCCGTGCATTCCCCCTGCACAGCAGAAAAGCCTGGGATGTGGCTGGGCGCAGTGACGATCCCATGGAGCATCCGATGGAGCATCCCAGCCAGGACACGGCCAGAAGGGACTGGGAAGAGCCAGGGGTGCCCGGGCTGCCCCACACCGCAGTGGGGCACGTGGCCACCAGCACGCGGGACGACGGGCCACGTGCTGCGGGGCGGCCGGCAGTGGGAGGATGCACTCAGCTGGAGAAGGGAAAACCAAGGCAGGAGCCGAGTGGGCTCAGGACACCCAAAACTCATCCCATTTAATTGGAGCAGCAAAAGGGGAAGGTCGGAGCAAGATGAGCCCCATCCTGCAGCACGAGCCCTCCCGGGGCCAGGTCCTGCACACGCAGGGGACATTTCTCCACCTGGGCAACAACAGATTTACCTTCAGTCATGACTTAAATAAGCAGGTTTAAACCTTCTTTATAGCCCCGATTTCCATCTTGCCTTGTGAGTGTACTTTTAATTATTTCATGGGAGAGAAGCTTGTTCTAACCGGCTGCAGCCATTCAGAGAAGACTGTTTGCAAGCAGAGAGCCTTTGCTCTAAATTTAGTGTTCTCCGTGCTTTAACCACACTTTATGTAAATAGGCATGACGTGCCCCTGATTTATTCACACCCTTGATTGTAAGATGTTGTTACATTGGAAAATGGTGAACCCACATCTTACTCGGTAGATTTCATTTGGGGTAACTTCTAGAAAGGCTATTTAAATAAAAACCGTGTTAAATACGCCAGAGGTGTTTTCTTTTGCTGTGCAGCACGCTGCAAGACTTCCCTGCTTTAGCGAGCCAGGCAAAGCACCACGGCTGCAGCCCCGTGTCCTTGGGCGGGCAGGAGGAGCAAGGCGGCCTCCATCCCCTGCCCAAGGGAAGGGGCACCCGAAATAACCCGGCACCTCTGCCTCCCAGGGCCCTGCTCAGCTTGCAGCCCCCCTAAGGACAGGGAGGCTCAGGGCACTGGTGCTGCACTGGTTTCCATGGCATGGGACTGTCATTCCCAGGAGGATTTTGAGGACAAGCGTGCACCAAGCACCTTGCAATTTAAAGGATTAGTGCAACCCAAGAAATATGGGACTCCATTGAGGTTATCAGGTCCAAATTCAGAAGTGGAGCATTGTGAATCTAAGCAAAATTACAGTTTAAAGGAGAAAACCCTGCGATTTTGGAGCTCGCCGCCCCTGAGCGCGGGCAGGAGCCTGTGGGAGCGCGGCCCGGCCCCGAGCAGCTCCGGGAGCCTTTTTCTGGGTTTCTAGGTTGGAGAGACCTCAGATAACTCCCCTCTCTCCCCCCGCCCGCCGCGTGCAGCGACTTGGCGCTCGCCAGGAGCCGCTGACCTAATTAGCGGTGTCAGTGCTCGCCTGCGCTAACGCCGCTGCGGAGCGGGCGCCCGAGCCAGGACCCCCGCGCCAGCGCCGGGGCCGCGCTCCAGCCCCACTGCCCTGGCGCACGGGGCACCCCCGGCTGCTCGGGCCTTAAAGTAGGAAGGAGAGATGCCGTGGCTGCTGCAACCGCTGCTACCGGGCTCGCTCCATCTGCAAACAGGAGCATTTGCAGCCGGAGCCGCATCCGAGGCAGCTGCTGCGGCAGCCAGGGGCCAGAGCGAGCAGGGACCTTGTCCCCAGCAACAGCAGGAGCAACGGAGAAAGGAAAAGCCGAGGAGGGAAGGGATTCTGCCAGCCACGCCAGAGCGGGAGATGCTGAAGGCTTGAAGAGAAAATGCGGAGAGGAGAGGCTTTATTTAGGGAGCAACAAGGGGGAATAATTGCAGAGCAATAGGATAAAAACCGGGAAGAGGTTAGGCTGATTAGCAGAGAAGGAGGTTTTAAATTGTCCAGCAGTTTCTCGACGAAACACCTGCCCAAACTGAACCCCAGGATCATCTAGTTTGGAGAAAACAACAGTTTTGGGGACCCTCAGCCCCATTAGCTCCAGGCAGGGAAAGCAGCAGTGATAAGAGACAAGTGACACAGGTTGGCACCAAGTGTCTCCCTGTGCAGTGGAGGGCACAGCGTGGCTTGGGACAGGGCGGGTTGGATCCGGTTCCATTTAGCTGGGCAGGACAGCACCTTGCTTTAGCCCTGGGATTTTGGGATGCTCTTCCCAGAGGAGCAGCAGGGAGGAGACCAGAGCTTGGAAGTGGCCCAGGGATCACCCAGTCTGGCTCTTGCATTAGTGCAAAGAAAGCCAGGAAACTTTCTATACGTGCACCAGAGAGGAACTCCTTCCTATACATGCACCAGAGCGATCTATACGTGCACCAGAGACCCGTGACACTGCAGGTCTCCCCTCCCTCAAAGCTCATTACACTATAAATGGTCAAAGAAGCCTCCAAGGGATCGAGGTGCAAGGTTGGGTGACGGGAACCAAGTCGAGGTTCCTCCAGCCCCAATTTGGCCACAGAAAGTTGGATGCTGTTGAGCACTGGGAGCAGAGCATCTCAGCTCGCGATCTCTGCCTGGATCCTCCATCAAGTATTTCACACCCGCGTCCCCTCCTGCCTCTGCTCTCTGCATCTGGTGCTTTACGACACACAACCTAACTCAGCTTAAAACATTCTTAAAATCTGGAGGAAATTATTTGGAGCCACGGTGCTTTTATATAATTCTCCCCTATTTGTCTTTTATATAAGCCCTTGTAACCTGGTTAGCGTAAACTCCGTGCAAGTTAGCATTCCTTGACCTATAGCTAAAATTATTTCTCCTGATGGGAATATCAAAATGAGGTTTCAATTACAAAAGTTTATAAAAACCTCTAAGCCATTTGGCACAATGGTACTTAATGCTTAAAATACTCGTTCACACAGGAACAGAGGCAGATGCAAAGTGCAGAACACACCAGCATCTGGGCAGGAGCTCAACACGGACCATATATCTCCTTAACCAGCTGCTCCAAAGCCCATTGCCCCCAGCTGAGCAAACCTGCGTTTCCTTTGCAGAAGGAAGCAGAAGTCGCCAAGATGTGTGAGGCTGGAGAAGGACACAAGGGACGGGACGCTCTAGTCTGCCTTTCTCCAGCCCAGCTGAGCGGAGCTCGCCCAGATGGTCGTACTGATGAAGGGTCTCAAGGACCCTCATGTGGGGACGGCCACATCCATGGTCAGACAGGGCCTCTCCATCCTGCCGTTTGCACAAGTTACCAGCCCCACTTTTCGCCTCAGCTGCACACCGAGGTCCCATCTCCAACACCAGCGCGGATTGATGAACCAACATAACCGCGTTGCCCACTTGCTGATTCAATCAAGGTCATAAACCCTCTGTGACCCCGATTGGATAGCTCGATCATAGCCAACATTTAATGGAATTACGGCAATTCAGCTTCCTTGATGCTGATTTAGTCTTAGCATTTGTTCTCATTCTTTTTTTATAAAAGACATGAAGTGAATAGAATTGGTTTATTCGAGGTCTCTATTCCCAGGTCTCAGTCTAGGCCAAAAAAAAAAAAAAAAAA